ATTCTGTCTTTTTTAAAGACAAAAATTTTTGAGGCGAAATACCCAAAAAGAAGTTTGTAAAAAATGAATCCGCCTCAACAATATAGAATTTATCTCCTAATTATAGTTTGCCAGATATCGACCGCGGTGGTTCCCGGTGCGAAACCCTGTAGAGCCAGTCCATTCCCGGTCAATATTTTTTTCGGTAATTTGCTCAAATTCATTGATTTCCAGGTCTGGGACTTCGAGCGTCATTACCGAAAATGCCCAGTTTCCGACGGAAAAAAATCCCATCGCCCGTTCCAGTGGAAGATGAGGAATCGAAGGACTTGTCGGACCAGGAAGAGATCGTACGCGATGAAGAGGCCGAAGAGTCGGATTCGAGGAAAGCGGACACATCCGCACGTGCCCGACGAGTATCATCAAGCAGTTCGAGCGTTAGCTCCGGCTTCAGTTCGGACGATGAGAGCAGTTCTAGTGACGAAAGCTCTTCGGACGATTCGGACCGAGAGGTGAAGCAAATTAATAGGTGGGTACCACTGTACTAATGCATAACAGTTTGGATTCCTATTGTTAAATTGTGGTTTTTTAGAAGCGACAGAGCGCCCCAAAAGCCGAGCGCAACAACAAGCAGCGATTTGCCAGCATTTGAGCTTTTGAATGATGGAATTGCCGAAAGGAACAAAACCCCAACACCAATGGAGGTAAACCGAATGCCCGAAGCGATTACTTTAAAGCACTGAAACGTTAATTGTTTTTAGGTTGATACGGATTCTCAAGAGACATTTGGACTGTCTGGTTCGAAACTAGACAAAACTCTGGAAAAGAAGCAGCCATTGCCGTTGGCAATAAGCACCAAAGCCGCGCTTCCAAACGTCTACGATAGTGATAGTGATGATCTCAGCGACACTGAACGCATCTTGTTAGAGCGACGACGCAAGAATGACGAATGGATGGAGCAGATCGAAAAAGAGCGGCAAGAGCGAAAGGAGGCTGAAATGGGACGGCGGAAAGTCCTGGAGGAGGAAGAGCAAAAGGTGAGAGAACTGGAGGAGAAGAAGCGAGTGGAGGACGAGCGGAAGAAGCAGGCAAAGGAGGAGCAGAGGAGTAAAGCGCGCGAGCGCCGAGAGGCCGAAAAGCGCCAGAAAGCCAAGGAGAAGGAGGAGAAACAAAGGCTCAAGGAGGAGAAGGCAAAGGCGGCGTGCCCGCCACGAGTGCCGCAATACATGGGTGAGATTGATGATGATGAAGGTAAGTGGACGCACGTGCAATATAACGGTGCTGATTTTTGCGTTCTACAGAAACTCTGAGCGCAACAGAGGAGAAAACATTGGAGGAACTGGAAGCGGAAAGGGATGCTCTTTTGCAGCAAGTCCGCAACCCCGACCCGCCTTCAATAGAGGAAATGGATGCGGAGTCGTTCAAACACCATAAGGTGGGTATTATATTCAGGGTTTAGTGAGATTTCCTTGAAAAAACCTCAAACTTACATGCTTTATTTCCTGTGACAGAAGGACAGACTTGAAGAGCTCAACGGTACCACGGAGTTTAAGCGACGGTTGTCTGATGAATCCGGCCAAAGTAGCCCCTCTAGTCAGGTTTGTGTTTTTTCACTTCTCAACTACGTTTCGCTTTACGGTATTAACAACGATATTGATTTGCAGGTGGCGATCGAACATTCTTATTGTTTGTCGCTACCGGATGAAAAGGAAAATGAGACAGCGGCGGACAATCGGCACGTAAATATGGCCACTTTGGCCCACGATCATGGTTATACCAATAAAGCCGTGCCCGAGGTTCCAGTTTCTCCAGTCAAACCCAAAAAAGTAATTTTGCCTACCTTTTTGATTCTCCGTGTGTTTTGATGGGTGTGCTTTTTAATAGGAGAAGGCACCAAAGCAGCCACGACCGAAGAAACAAAAATTGCGAGAGCTCCAGAACACGTACTACCAAGACGACAAGTTTAAGCCGCTTAAAGTTGGAGAGATTAATAAACATGAGCACATTGTACATAAAATTCGAGATCAGATGTCTGAGTTTGGGGTGTTGTATGAGTTCCTCACCAAAGGTAGGTTTCCAACTGATTTTGCTTCCGTTTATGATTGTTAATGGATTATTATTCGTTAATTTCAGGGATTGATAAAGAAGACATTGAGTACATCAAGCGATCGTATGAAGAGCTGCTCTCGGATGATGCGATGGGATATTGGCTGAATGACACCCATTGGGTGGATCATTGCGTTACTGATCTCTACTCCAGTCCGCCCAAAAAAAGGAAACGAGATGAACGGAACCATTCAACTGGTAAGACTTAGTTTGATGAATGAATAGTTGCAGGAAATTTTAAATTCATTTGAAATTCTAACGTTAACTTACTTATGATCAGGTTGTGCGCGAACTGAGGGCTACTACAAGATGAGCGCTCATGAAAAATCGCGCTACAAGTACCACCATGCTAAAGCTCATGCGATTCAGATGGCAGCCTCTGCTCCTGCAAACAAACAAGGTATCGGCTTAATAAAATCGTTTTTGCAATGCAATTTCAGCATGTTTTAGAAAAACAACGTTCCGCTTTAACACCACGTATTTTCTATTTTTTTTAAGGTTTATCGAGAGAAGCACGGTCCAATCAAAGACGTCTCCTCACTGCTTTCGGTGGCGACACCGATTCCGATCTGTTGAAGTTCAATCAGCTGAAATTCCGAAAGAAACAGCTCAAGTTTGCCAAATCGGCCATTCACGATTGGGGGTTGTTTGCCATGGAACCCATTGCTGCTGATGAAATGGTACATTTGCTGGTTTTCAGTGGAAGGGCTATTTTAAGCGCCATTTCAATACTTTTTGCAGGTCATTGAGTACGTAGGTCAAATGGTCAGACACAGTATGGCCGATCTGAGAGAGCATAAGTACGAAGCGACGGGCATTGGCAGTTCCTATCTCTTCAGGATAGATTTAGAAAACATCATTGATGCAACCAAGAGCGGAAACTTGGCCAGATTTATCAATCATAGCTGCAATGTAAGTGGATTTTCGTTGTTATCTGCGGCGAATTCAACCAGGGGGCAAATGTTGTTGAAGTTTCGATTTACGCGAGAAAAAAATTAGGTACTAAAAATCGGTTCTTGCCATTTCGATGGATAATTTAAAGTTACGCCAAAAAGTGTTAAATAGGAAAGTTTTAGATTTTTTTGTGATTTACAACTCTGCAATTGAATGTTTTCCGCTAGGAGGTCACGTTTAGGCGCAAATCGCCAAACCGTTTTCAACCCCTAAACTCCATCCCCATTTCACCATTTCCAGTGCTTTGCTGTTCAAATTTTATTTTTTCAAACAGTTGGAACCTCAACCACATTTTCCACCTGATCGTTGGCTGTTATTAATTTTTTAGCAAATCAAAATCCTTCCTTTCCTTATCAGCAAGTGAAAAAACCCAAAAATTTGCCTTATGTTATATTTTTCCTTGCAGCCAAACTGTTACGCAAAAGTAATTACGATTGAATCCCGAAAGAAGATTGTCATCTATTCGAAACAGCCCATAGGTGTGAACGAAGAAATTACCTACGACTACAAGTTCCCAATTGAAGAAGATAAGATTACATGTTTGTGCGGCGCCTCAACATGCCGTGGAACTCTGAACTAAATGAACACTATTAAACTGCTTTGCTGGGTAAAAACTAGGATCGAAAAAAAATACGCTTAAACGTTGTTATCAGAGGGAGCAGTTGGTTCGATTAGATCATCAGGTGCATGTTTGCTCTATTTTCCATTCATATTCATAATATTTGTTTGTCATTACAAATCACCTTACAACCCTTTACGTAGTGTAAAATTTATTTATGCCTTGCGAGTTTTAAGTCATGTAAATAAACACATTTGCAATATGTTGTGAACAAACATGCCCTGGCGATTTAGATCAACATTTTGGCATTTTAAAAATTTATCCTCGCATTAATTACCACGCCGTTTAACTACACGTAGACGCGTTGTGCGTAGGAAAATGTTCTGTCCTGATGTACACTTTTATTTAATTAACAGCATAAAGTAAGCAGCAAACTCGCTTCGATATTCCAGTGGAAACTTACCTAAGAGATTGCCGCCGTTATCAAAATTCACCTGGAAACAGCAAGCAAGTGTGATAATCAAACTGTTGATTGTATAATGCAATGCTTTGTGAGATACTGATGTATATTTTGATTCTCTAGAACATTGTATTAAAAAAATGGAATTTTTAGAATAAGACTTTTTACAGCTAGCTTTAGTTAGAAATTCAGGTCGGTTAGTTAATTTAAAATAGAATTGAATAGTGTTCAGCGTGTGATGAATTCTTGTAAAGCTTGCACGATTGTATATCTATTGGTATCTATTTTTAATCAAATGTTTTGTAAGTGTATATACGACGATTGTAAATATAAAGAACCATTTGTTAATATGGGGAAGGTTTATTCTATTTTAAGGTCATGTTGAATTGAATTATGATTATCAGATAGGTCATGACCGAGGAGAAAAGCGTCGAGAGAATCGACTGATTCACCGACCAAAAACCTGCCGCCGAAAATTCCGGATATAAGCCTGGAAAAAATGGTTTTATTATTCGGCACTTGAATTGTTCGCCAGAGAACCTGCCTTGAACGTAGTAGGATAAGCGCAGGAATTCTTCCCGCAACTCCCTGTTTTCCATTTGCTCATGCAGGATCAGACAGGTTTTCTGAATGCTTTTGGCACATTTTAAAACTGAGTTGCATGCCATTACGATCTGAACGTTGCATATCTGGAAGCGATCGCTGGACTAATTAGTGCACGCTTTTGTGTTTTCCACTTACTATATAAAGGGCGAGGAAAAGGACATTCACTCCGGTCACTGCCTGGTCAATATCCTGGTTTTTGCTGGGCATTCCATAGTTGACAGCATTCAGCACTTCCAGCACCGTGCAAATGGCCACAAAGAAAAAATATGTTCCAAATATCGTATTAATTTCCTCCACTATTAGGAACAAGTGCTTGTAGCAGTTTGAGAACTCCGCCAATTTGCTCAGCACATGTTCCTTTTGGACAATGGAAAACTTGATGTTCCTGGCAGTTCCATAAACCCGCAGATAGTTGTGCATGTACAGATAGCGGTTCCTTGCCCAAGTGCAGACGAAGTCGATGAAAAGGGTGGTGAACATGATGTAGTAGGTCGTAAACCGGAATATGATAAAAGCCAGAGAGTAGGAGAGGAACATCCAGTTGACGATGCTGTCGTAAATGTGCACAGCTGCATAAACCGCGTGGTAGAAGAATATCCGCAATCTCAAACCAGCGGTGGAATAGTCGGTTACTTCAGTAGTGCACGTCCAGTGGAGCTTTTGCTCCAGCTGCTCAATGCTCCTCATCATCTTGTTCCAGTGCTTCTTGTTGAGCAAGCTCCAAATCACTGCGTGCTCTATGAACACCGACTCGACTATTCCTTGCAGTATATCCAGAATCGTTTGACTCAAATTGAAGCTCTCGTAAATGCGGAATCTCTCATAGAAGGAGAAAATCGTGCCTCCCAAGTAGATGATCAGCAGCAGCACCGGATAAACAATCGCCCAATAGTTCCATAATTTCCTTTCACTGTTCTCAGTGCTAATTGGTGTAAACCCCAGCAGCTTTGCCAGCCGATACCATCTCTGAACGATCACAAAATCAGCTCGCGGCTTAGTCAGTGCCAAAGAGGACATTTTTCGATGCTGCAACATCAGCCAGTCGAACACCATATCATTTCCAACACTGAGCCAGTTCTTCCGGGCAGCTTTATTCCGTGATAGAATCAAAACAATTTCATTGCCGTGAATAAATCAATTAAATCTGCGGGAAAACTAGTCTAAATTAAAGGTTTGGAGCTTTTTTCGATCACGCACACGACACAAAAAAGCTTTGAAGAGGGTTGTTAATACACAGGGAATCGCATCAAAGTGTTGGTTGACATTTTTTTTAATAGGGCTAAAATGAATATTTACACGATCGAGTTGAACGCTAACTTTTAATGATGTTGTTCCCAAGTAAATATTAATATAGACCGCACTAATTGGAAAGTTTCACTGCTCATGGGTGCCTCATTCATTACAAATTTTCGACTAACTATAAATTCGTCGTTGGGTTTCTAACAGCAATTCAAATTTACACTTTGGCGCAAATAAACGGGTTTTTGGAATGTTGCAAAATTTACCCAATAGATAAATATGTAGTTAATAAGCATTTGTATAGATATGTGAACATTTGGGCCACTCTGTATAGAAACTGGGTTGGAACAACCCTTGAAATGAGCTGCAGGATAAATATATTTGCATTTTACTGCTCGTTTTAAGTGCCAGGCAAACATTTCCTTAAAAAAGCACTTTAAGTCGAGATAATCAATATTTATCTTTTAAAGTCAATTAAAAGTTTGTTACATTATTTTTACTTTGAACAATTCGGGATTTTCACCACCAATTCAACACCACCAATTGTTCTTACCGAAATGTACGTTCTGCTGTTTTATAATGAAAAATTATTTCGTTCGTGATTATTATAATATTTTAGAACTTACCAACTAGTCTGTGAAATATTTTACGGGATTTCCCCATCAAAACGAATTCTGTAGCTCGAATGGTTCTTGAGAAACTTCGAAAAAAGCAGCGTCATGTTCAAGTGGATTTTGCAACTCAAAAAAATACCACGTAAATCTAAAACTTTTTGAATTCAAGCCTTTTTTGAAAACACTGCCAACATTTCCCCATTTTTTCATGGTTCACTTTCTAAAAAGGCCATTTATTTCTGTCTAGAATGATGTACAAATGAGCGTTCTTGCTCATTTTGCCTCCGAGAAATGAGCAAA